GTCGGTGAAATTCACACACATAAGATTTCACATTTAAGAGTAAGCTTTGTAAGTGGCATTAAAAAAATTCAAATAGTTTGGCCGTTATAGGCAAACAATGAAATTAGGACCGCGGTGCATTTTGCCCTTCCGCCATATGCCCAATTTTGGGATTTCTCTTGCCCCCTTCTGGGAATCACTAGTCACATCCCTTAAGTTCAAAACGCATTTTTGTTTTTTCAAATATCTTAATTTTTACCAATGTTATAAAGAATTTAGTGTTTGAACATTTAACAAATTCAATTTTTCGACCTTCGTCGCCTCAAAATACTAAAAAAAATTCAATCGTCCATACCGCGAGAACGGTGCATCGATCAAAATTTCTCAAGAGACATAAAAATTAGCATTTTTCCTAAGCTTTCAAATGTCGTAAACTGCGTTTTAAAAATATTGATTTATTTCCGACATGCGCCTGCGCAAAATTGAAAAATTGACAAAATCCAAAATTTCGGCACTTTCGAAAAACTGCTACATTTTGTTTTGCCTTTTTTCGAAAAGATCACCTCAAAATACATAGAATCCATTTTGTTTCATCTAATTACAATTTAATGTAAGCTCAAAACCCGTAATTTAATTCGATTATGTATACTATTTTCATTACCGCCACCGCCCGGGTCGGGCGGCGGGTCCTCCACCTTCATGTGGTTTGATTGACTTAGGTTAGTTTGCTTATTTTAAAATATTTACTACTACTGCGGAAATAATTGTTCTACTCACTATTTGATTAACACTTCGCTATGATGTTTGATGTATCTGTGCTCGATGGATGAAATTTTCACCAATTTACTTAGATTTATTCCTATGTCTTTACACGTCCTTATGCGTAGGAAGATCAACATGGAATCGGCTGGACAGGGACATTTCTCTTCTTCTTCTTCTTTCTTTGGCCTCTTGTCTTTTGACATACAGCCAACTATTTGTTTTCTTATACGTTGTAACTTCATGAAGGATGCACATTGCTGTGCGTCTGGAGTCTACTGTCCATACCCCTCATGTGTAGGATAAAGGTTTACAAAGGTGATAAGACTTTTCTCGCTCCGTGGTGTGTCCGGAGCATTTCACAGTGGATTACACCAGGTTGGGTAGGAAGGGTTAGGAATCTGTTCTGTTCTGTTGAAAGGTAAAAAAAAAAAAAAAAAAAATAAAATATTATATATGTTCGTTGTTGATTTGAGATCCAAAATACTACAATGAATCTATTCTACAATGAATCTATTCTACAATGAGTCTATACTACATCTACTTGCCATGTTAAGCGGGTTAGGTTGATGTTTTAAAGCTTAATGTTGTTGTCTTTCAAATATTGTACTAGTAGTTTAGCTGATGATGAAGCAGGGTTTGTAAGCAGGGTGTATGCATTAATGGGTGTTTGTGATATTTTTGATAGTTTTTGATATAATTCATCATTCTGTTGTTTTCTCATATGGCACTCAAGAAATATGTGGTTTAAGTCACCATGTAGGCCACATGTGCAGTTAGGATCGTTGTTAATGCCTATTTTATAAAGGTGATGTGGTGTCAAGCAATGTTGTGATCTCATTCTGACTATTGTAGTCAGTATCCCCCTAGATGTTCTAACGTTTTCAAACCATGGTTTCTTGTATGGCATTGGATTCATACTCACATAATTCTTGCCTTTGTATTTTCCTTCTTCTTTATATGTTTGGCACCAGTTGTTCCAGATGCTTTCTTTCGCTGTGTATAGCAGGTCGTTGTGGTGCAGCTTGTATTGATGTATCCTGTTACTTGATCTCCCCTTGTTGGCTAACTCGTCTGCCTCTTCGTTGCCTTTGATACCAGAGTGACTTGGAACCCACATCAGTTTTATTTCTACTCCGTTTAGAGAGTTGATTATTATAAGTTCTCTTGTGCTCAAGCTAATGGCGTCGTTTTTGGCTTTTATTCCTTGGCTTGTTATTTTTTGGATGGCACTTCTAGAGTCCGCAATTATTAGAAGTTTTGACGTTGTTTCTGCATACATCTCGATTGCTTTCTTAATGGCTATAATTTCTCCGGTGCATATTGGTGTTTGGTGTCCTAGTCTTTGAGAGATTTTGATAGAAGGTGGGTTGCCGGTTATTCCTACTGCGCATTTTCCCGTGTCTTTGTCAAAGGATGCATCTGTATACACTACAGTATAATTGTTAAAATTTGCTAGAATTTCGTTTAGTTTATCATTGCACTGTCTTCCTCCTTTCTCTATTTTAGAGTTTAACCATTCTATCTTGAAAATTTGTTCCCAGTAGTCCCATTTGTAACAGGGCAATGTGTCTGTCCTCTTGATTCTGTCTATATGTTGTAGAGCTAGATCCCAACCTTCTAGTATGTTTGGTGGTGGTTTATTTCTCCAGTAGATAGGTTCCTCATTGAACATGCCATAGAATGTCATCAAGCTCTTTCCTATTTCTTCGTCCAGTCGTGATATCATTTTCATACTGTATTTAGTGCATAGCCATATTCTCCTATTTACTAATGGTATTTCCCCTGCTTCTGATAATAGAATATTAGTTGGAGTGGATTTCATGCATCCTAAGGCTGCTCGTAGCGCTTCGTATTGAACTCTGTCCAGTTTTTTCCAATTTGATTTGGCAGTTTTAAAAATAGCTTGAATTCCGAATTCTAAGTGTGTTCTTACTATCCCTTTATATATATTTAGGAGTATTTTAGGTTCGGCTCCCCACCATGTGCGGGTTAGTGATCTCATAATGTTGATTCCATTCTTTGCTTTGTTACAGCAGTTGTTTATGTGTTGTGTCCAAGACAGCTGGCTGTCAAATGTCACACCTAAGTATTTGTATTGTTGTACCCATTCTATATTTTGTAGTCCTAGTTTTATTTGTCTTGGCATATTCCTTAATTTTCTTTTGCTGAATATCATGGCCTTAGTTTTATTCAGTGAGAGGGTCATTCCATGTTGGCTCAGCCACTCTTCCATCTGTTCTATTGCTCTCTCCATTGATCTTACTAGTATTGCCTGATTTTTGTGTGACATGATTAATGCTATGTCGTCTGCGTATTGTATGCATTTAATGTTTTGCATTTCTATCTTGTTTATTCCGGCGGTGTATAGGTTGAAGAGCACTGGGCTTAGAGGAGATCCTTGTGGTAGGCCTTTGTTTGTGTGTTGTGGTCCAATTAATTCTCCTGAATTTGGCGATCTGATATATATTTTCCTTTTGTCTAGTATTTTGTCCACCGTTTTAATTAGGTCAGCATTTATTCCTTCTTGGTTTAGGTATTCCAACAATTTTGGCATCATAACATTCTCATAAGCTGCAGATATGTCGAGAAACACACATATAGATTTCTCATTTCTGGTAAAAGTAGTGTATATATTCGTTGCCAGGTATGTGATGTTGTCTAGGATGCCTCTTCCTTTTCTGAATCCATTTAGTAGGCTTCCGAATGTTTTATTTTGTTCTAGTTGGTGGTCTATTCTCATTTGTATAATGTTTTCCAGCAGTTTGCCTACACAGGATGTTAGAGCAATGGGTCTGTAGTCATTAACCCTGTTTGGGGTTTTGCCTGGTTTGACTATTGGTGTTATTATGTGTGTTTTCCATTGTTCTGGATAGCTTATTTCTTCAGAGATAATTTTATTGAAAATATTGATCAGGTTCTTAGTCATGAACATTGGCAAATTTTTAATCATTGTGTAGGTAATTTGGTCCATGCCGGGTGCGGTTTCTTTTTTGTTCTGAATTACCACATCGAGTTCTTCTATTGTTATTTGAGGTGATGGCTCATCATTTGTATATTCATTTTGGTAATTAGGTTTAGTCGGAACTATTGGTGGCGCTATTGCATCTAGCATGATATGAAACAATTCCTCATTTTGTGTGCAATGTGGGTTTGTGATCCTGTTGCCTTGTGCAAATTTCCTTACTGTTTTCCATATTTTTGATATTGGTGTATCTCTGTTCAATGTTTCTGTGTACTCTCTGAAGCTTTCTTTTTTGCGATTCTTTATTATCAGCCTCGCTCGTGCCACTGCTCTTTTGTATGTGATGTAGTGCTCCTCCGTCCAGTTGTTCTTATAGTTTTTCAATGCTGCGCTTCTTTCTTTTCTTGCATTTTCACATTGTTCATCCCACCAGACAGGTTTCTGGGGGTATCGTTTTTTCCCCTTAAATGTTTTTGTTTCTGTAATAGAAATCTTTGCTGCTGTATTTACTTTGTTTACCCACTCATCATATGTATTGATTTCTTCCTCTATCATACTATTTTTATACAGGGTCCAGTTAGCTTTGTTTGTTTTCCATCTGCTTATTGGTATATTATTATATGTTATTTTTTCCATATTTTTGATTAATGTCGTTGTTGGCATGTGGTCGCTCATTCCTGCAGTTTCTAAAACGTCCCATTCACAGTTTGGTGCAATGTCTGGTGTGCATATGGTTATATCAGTGCAGCTTCGGTTTTGACCAGGAAGGGTTGTTCTTGTGGGTCTGCCATCATTTAGAAAAATCAGGTTCATGTCTTCCATTGCCTCCATTAAGTATTTGCCGCTGTTGTTTGTTTTTCCTGATCCCCAAACCTCATGTTGTGCATTAAGATCACCCATTATGATGAATGGGTTCTCTATTTGTTGGAAGATTCTTGTATAATCCATCTTAGACATGTGAATGTCTGGTGGACTATAAATGGTTAAGATTGTTAAATTTTTTGTTTTAATGCCGCTTATCTGAAATCTTTGTGGTAAGTGTGTGTTGATTTTTACCTGTTGAAATGGTATTGCCTTGTTAATGATGCATGCTATTCCTCCATATCCATCTCCTCTGTCTTGTCTAATGCAGGTGTTTTGTGGTAGGTTAGTGTACTGATGTGGGTTCAAGAATGTTTCATTTAATAGTATTATATCTGGTTCCTGCTCTGCTGCTATCATTTTTAACTCATTGTAGTTTGTATTGTAGCTTCTTATGTTCCATTGTAGTATCTTGATTTCTTCCATCTCTGGTCAGCTAGTAGGATGTGTGAACTGAGCTGGTGGGGCTGTTTAGGCTCCTATCCACCTCAATTTCCATGTCTACGTTTGTGTTGAATGTTGGTTGGTTTTCTTCATTTTTTCCGAGCGCGTTTTCTATTTTATTCATTTCATTCAAGATTCTCTCAATCGTGTCCTCTTCCACGTTTTCTTGTTCTAGTATGTTTCTAAAAAAAAGGCTTAAATCTATTGTTTCTGTTGTTTGTTCTGTGTCTTTTTCATTGTCCTGTTGTACATGTGTATAATTTGGGCTTCTGCATGGTGTTGGTATTAGCATCTTCTTGTGTGCTTCTTTGTCGTATCCAACTGGTGGTGAGGAGGGTTTCCTCTTTCTCTCTGGGGTGCATATTTGTGAAAACTGTATTCTAGGTTTGCTTTGGTTTATGTGTTGTCTTCTTTGGTGTACTTCAATGACTTGTTCTTGGTTTGCCCTAGGGGTTAAAGGTGGGAAGTCTCTATTGTTATGTGTGTAGTTAATATGTGTTGACTCTGTTTCGGTGTGGTTCGGGAATCTTTGTTTTGCTTCATAGTATGAGATGTTGTCATATACCATTAGTTCTTTTATGTCCTTTTGGCGTTGATACTCTTTACATTGTCTGTCTGTAGCTTTGTGGTTTTGTTTACAGTATAGACAAGCCTTTATTTCAGCTTGACACTCCTCCTCTTCATGTTCATAGCTGCATAATGCACATCTCCTTTTGCTTCTGCAATGTGTTTTGGTGTGTCCATATCTGAGGCAATTTAAACATTGTAGTACTGGGTCCACATATATTTGCACTCTTACTTCATAGTAGTTCACTAAAATACTCTCAGGTAGTCGCTTTCCTCTAAATGTTATTACTATAGTTTCTGTTGGTACATATTCTACAGTGTTATCCTTTGTAACTCTCCTATTTAGTCTTCTCGCTGCTATTATGGGTTTTGCTGACACTCCTTCGCTTATTATTTCTTCCGTTGTAGTTTCTATACCAATGCCTCTTACTATACCTTTTACAGATATCAGTGAAGCAGGGATGAAGGCATCCCAATTATTTTCTTGTAAAATTTTATTTTTAAGAAAATTATTGGCGTTATGCGTTGTTATAAAGTCGATCCCTATGCGGTTTCTGCCTTTTCTTGTTATTTTGCGAATGCCGTTCACAGAATTATTTTTCAGTATTTTCCCTACCGCTGTAGGGTGGACGTTACCTAAGTTCTTTTCTTTACTTTCTACAATTATTGTGTATGGTGGTAAATCGTGTACATCGTATTGGGCGATTCTTTGCTCCTTAGGTTTGTCCGGAGGTTTTGGTTGGGGGCTTTCGCCCCCAGATGTTTCGGTCATCCGGTATTTATTCGCGGTTTTGTAGGTTAAAGGTTAGAAAGGTAATGAAAATGATAGGGAATGATTTTATTAAGCGATATTATAGTGGTAAGTTACTTACAGTAGCTCCAGACGTTGTTTCCTGCTATACTTTTGTCGTTTTTTTCACTATTTTCTTGACTCTTAATTTCCACGTGTGCATCCACTCAGAATCAAGGTCAAACGCCGACAGGGACATTTGATGAAATAAAATAACTACATCTCATCTTCTTACAAATCAGAAATTCTTCATTAATTGTTGGCCTTTTACAACATAACCCGTTTAGTACCCTTTTGTGTAACATGTACACCATGTTTCAGAAACATTTTCAGTGAAATATTTAACTAAAATATTTTTGAAACTTATGCTTGAAATGTTATATGTTTGAAACGTTTGAAATATTTCTGAAACACTTTTGAAATAATGTGTGACGTATGGGTAAATGCGTTTCTGACAAGTAATCTATCAGTGGATTCTTATTAATAAATTTTAACTTCAAAAGCGCAGTTAAACGTCATAAAGAGTATATCGTTTGATAAAGAAACTCAATGATTCGCAGAAAAATAGGTCTTCTCAAAAAACAATTTGGGCTTGCGTAAAATGACTTAAGAGTTTTCTCAAATAAGTGATTCATTTATTTTTGACTACCTACTGACCCTACTGTAAACACAACACGAGTCCACAATGAGAAATAAATCTATCTATAAGGTTTTTTGCTCATTAACAAAGCAGCATCCTCGCAGCATATAAATATTTTGTGTTCATGTTTTTTTTTCTGTCTTATAGAACTATGTTTTTTTATTAACTCATATGTATAAAATAAAACATTAAGTTAAATTATTTTTTTTAAATATGTTTATAATTATTTTTACATAGGTACCAGATGATCAAACAGCAGAAAAATCTGAGGAAATTAATTTTGATGCTAGCTTAAATTCTGAAATGAAATTGTTGGATAAATATTATGAAATGGTTGAAATTTCAATAAGCGATAGTGAAGATGAATCAGAAAGAAGGTATTTATTTGGAATTGGAACATATTCTCTATTTTTTAGCATTAACTAAAAAAATCAGATAAAAATAATTGCAATGAAATACTTTGCATAGCTTGATTAATTTTCTTTTAGTTTTGTTTTTAAACCGAAAGATGTATATGAAAATAGACAGCTACCACCTTTAATAGGATCAGACGACTGGTATAAAAATTGGTACATTGAAGATCAAACTAGTGATGTTGATTCTGAAAAATCTTCAGAAGTTTACAGTGAATCCGATTCTGATGATAACTTGCCCAAGGATTTAGTAAGATTTATAATATAAATATGAGCTCTATTTAATATTTTAAATACAATATTAATATCATATTTCTTTTCAAATTTGGTTATAGTGTTCCAATTTTTTTTTTCTTCAGTTTAATGGTTCAGAAACTAGTTCAGAACTCGACTTTTCAAATCATGCCAACGAAAGTAGACCTGTAGCAAATTCAACATTCAAAGACATTGTTAGAAAACCAGAATCGGCGATGTCTAGTGAAGAAAGTGAGGATTTCAATTCTCTACCAGCAAAAGTAAACAATGTTACATTTTAAAATTATATTGCAATAGAAATATCTATAAATATGAATTTTAGGCTCCCATCTCTAATAAAACTTTTGCTGAACAACTTGCAGCTAAATTAGATAGTGTAATAAGTAGAGAAGAAATTGTAAGTTCAAACGTAAATACAAAACCTATACAACCTCCAAAATCGGACCCATTTTCAGGTAATTAAATATGTATTTTGTACAATATAGTAGTTTGTGCAACAAGAGTGGATATGATGGCCATATCACACGAAGACGAAATTTGAGCATGACTGTAGGCGGAGTGCGATGTGGACAATCTACTCGAGTTGTACAGTATATTTTTTCTACGACCCACTAACGAAAATTTACAAATTAAAAAAATAACTAATTTTAAAATAATTTTTAATAATTTTTAAAATAAAATAAACGAAAAAAAAAAGTTAATTTAATTTTTCCCCATCCGAGAATCGAACTCCAATCCTCTGCGTGGAAGGCAAGGACGCTAACCACGAGGTAATATCCATGTGGGTGTAGAAAAAATATGTTTTCTGCACCCACATGGATATTAGCTTATCTACGCACAGATTACAAAACGAAAAAGTATGCTATTGCCTTCAACTGAACGAATATATTTCATATTCATTCTAGGTAGTGAAAACACTGCAAAAAAATGAAATCCACCAATCACCGTTCATATTTTGATCAACCGACTGCTATTATTTTTAAAATTTTAAATAAGTGATAATTCTGTCAAACTAATTGTCAGTATATTTGTTAGTTATTGAGATTAAACATACATTAAAATGGGTTATTCTTGTGTAGAGTCGATAAATAATAGCATTTCTGTTTTTATTTCGTCTATAATTATAAATAATTTGTTAATTTGAATAAAATTATATGAAGCCAATTTAATTACGAGTATTAAAGCAACAAAAATAAAAGAATAGGTGATCCTGTGGTTAGCGTTCTAGCCTTCCACACGGACGACTCGAGTTCGATTCTCGGATGGGAAAAAATTAAAAGTACTTTTTTCTTTTTGGTTATTTTTATTTTAAAAATTATTAAAAGTCATAAATTATTTTAAAATTAGTTATTTTGTCTCAATAACCTAAAATATTTTTTTTATTTGTACATTTTCGTTAGTGGGTCGTATAAAAAACATACCGTACAACTCGAGTGCATTGTCCACATCGCACTCAAATTTCGTTTTCGTGCGATATGGCCATCATATCCACTCTTGTTGCATAAACTACTATTTCTTCCCTTGACGTCGGGTGAGAGTGGGTGAAACGCGTCCTGGAGAGGGGACTTTTGTAATGACCTCAACCTTACCTCTTGATATGGGTTAGTTGAATTCGAAGAGCATTGAAAATCTATTTTCCGGGGAAGATTCCTAGTCTCTGACTTTTTCACATTTTAAGGAGCGGAAAATGGGGAACATCGTAAAACTAAACAATAAATAAAAATAAATAAAAATAAATAAAAATGAATAAAAATAAAATACAAATAAATATATAAAATAAAAACAAATAAAAATTAAAAAGATTAATAAAAAATTAATAATAAGTAAGAAAAATAAATAAAAATTATTAAAAATAATAAAAATTAAAAAAAATTAAAAAGCGATAAAAATTAATAAAAATTAATAAAAATTAATAAAAATTAATAAAAATTAATAAAAATTAATAAAAATTAATAAAAATTAATAAAAATTAATAAAAATTAATAAAAATTAATAAAAATTAATAAAAATTAATAAAAATTAATAAAAATTAATAAAAATTAATAAAAATTAATAAAAATTAATAAAAATTAATAAAAATTAATAAAAATTAATAAAAATTAATAAAAATTAATAAAAATTAATAAAAATTAATAAAAACACAGGTCCACAAAAAAAAGGTGGTCTGTGCTGGGTGTTCGACAAAGATTTTCCGACGTATTTTTTACCGCTGAACACGAATCTGAAGTCAAAATTGAGGGTCAAACTGCAAAAAACGGAGAAAAATTAAAATAACCGATAAAATCAAATGGATTTTTTTTTTTTTTTTAATTTGGTGTCATCGGCGTCGACTACCACGGCCATTAGCCTCGTGTTCTGTGTAGGCTTTGTTACTGTTTCCCAGCGCCACTTTAGGAACAGCACTGTTAATTAGAACCCAACAGTGAATGGTCGAGTGGGGAATCCTACCTATGCATTAGAATTAATATTTAATTTTTTAATTAAATAAAAATTCCTGCTACCGGTGGGATTCGATCCTGAGACCTTCCGATCTCAGAGTCATGACTCTAACCACTGAGCCAACCCACCCCCTCAAATGGATCTTATCGGTTATTTTAATTTTTCTCCGTTTTTTGCAGTTTGACCCCCAATTTTGACTTCAGATTCGTGTTCAGCGGTAAAAAATACGTCGGAAAATCTTTCTCGAACACCCAGCACAGACCACTTTTTTTTGTGGACCTGTGAAATTAATAAAAATAATAAAAATTAATAAAAATTAATAAAAATTAATAAAAATTAATAAAAATTAATAAAAATTAATAAAAATTAATAAAAATTAATAAAAATTAATAAAAAAATTTGGCAGGTACCGCATGAAAAAATTTCTCTCGAGTAACGAACTGTTATTTACTTTTAATAATTTATTGAGATTTGAAAAATTCCAGCGAAGCGGAATCGGGTCAGCTAGTTGAACATAATTAAATCTGTGGTTTCATCATCTAAGTCTGATTCTCCATAGTAAAAGGAATAGTGTCTTGGACTAGGAGAACCACCAGTGTGATTTGAAGATGACACATCTGAATCAGGACGTGTCGGAATAAGAACATGGAATTGCATTATTACAAATTAGTTTTTTTCTTTTAAATTCATAAAAACTTAAAAAATCGTTATTGGAAAAAATTGGTGGATCAGTGGTGTCGCTCGACTGCTCAGAACCCCTAGTTCTCGTCAGTACAGGATCGAGAGACAAATCATCATTTCAAAGGTGTCTTTGTGTTGCGGAGTGAGCTACTGTGTTTCATTGGGGTTGAATATTCCTCCACAGAACTCCACCGTTTGCTTGATGAGCCATGAAAATTGGAATGGTACATTGAGTTTCAGGTATATGAAATAGGGAACTAACTAAAATTAAACACTGATAAATTTTCGTACAAAACGTTGAAGTTTGCCCTGTGCGAGGCATTTCTAGTTTATAACACAGCTGAAAGAGACACATTGCACAAAAATTTGAAATTTAAATGGAAATGTGGAACAAACTTTTCGGAGACAAATAAAAATATAAGCGAGCTTGGATGTACCAGTTCACACTCACTAGGTCAAAAAGAACTCACCTAAAAGAGAAGTTTTGTTAAGAATCTCAGGGGAGTGGCGCTATATGTCCTTAACGAAGTAGCAGGGATGGTTTTAGTTGTAGGACTCTAGCTGAAGGAAGGGCGCAGAGTTTGAATATTGTAATAAAATAATCACTAAATAATTTATATGGTTCCTGCACATAAAAAATAAAATTAATAGTTAATTTAGAGTATATATTATAATTAAAGAAAAATTACTTCCGTTTTGTTTTTAGCTGGTTTATTTGCTAACGAACCTCCTCCCCTCAGTGATTCAGAAGATAAAACTACGAAAGGTCTTTTTTCGCCAGGAAAAAATTTGTTTGATGATTATGAGGAAAACGAAGATGATTCAGTGTTTTGGGATAACCAGAAAAAAAATCCATCTGCATCTTTACTTAAAAAAGAAGACATTAACAAGGAAGAGGCTAATTTACAGAAAAGTTACATAGACAAAAATGATGTGTTGCCTAAATCATCCCAGGTGAATAATTATCAATAGATTAACTGTAATCTTAATAATTTTTGCAAAATCAGATTATCTAGATTTAGATGTTATATATTTAGGTTTATGAAAATGTGATTGGTTGTACTGGAATCTTAAGCAATCCACTATTGTTAATACTAAAATAATAATTTTGCCAAGTTGTTTTATTTACTTTTTTACATTTGGGTGACATCTTTCAAAAAATTTAAAGCTTAAAGAAAATAATCTTATTATTTTAAATTTGTTTTTATTATAGTTTTATCGCAACTAGATTGTTTTGATGTAAGTAGAATTACAATGTTTTAAATACATTTTACCGTTTTTTTAAGGTGTCAAAAGGTCTTTTTGATAGTGATAACAGTGATGATGATGATGATTTATTTGCACCTAAGACCCAAAACGCAAGTAAATCTTTGTTTTTGCAGCCAAATAAGCCAATTGTTCCATTATTTGATGATGAACCACCCAGTATAGACAATGAAAAGAAAACAGACGAACCTGTCAAAAAGGTAAATGTTTTTAAATAAGTAATACATGTAAGATCGTGAATTCACAACACAGATAATAAATGTATAAAATATTGACATTTTGAAAATGCTTTATTAGATCTGATATATCAGTAACTATCCAGTTGTTTAAAAATATTTTCATTATGAATAGTAACTATAATTATCGTTGCAGAAACCTACTGGAGGTGTATCAATATTCGGAAACAAGGATATTGGTGATATTTTGAAAATCAGACAACAAGCTGTTATAGAAAATGTAGAAAAAAATCGAAGTAAAGAACTGTCCAAACCTGCAGAAGATATGCCAAACAAGAAAATCAACTTATTCGATGATGAGGATGATGATATTTTCTTTAAAAAATTAGACAACCAACCAAACAACAAAAAAATAAACCTTTTCGATGATGATTTAGATAATAATAACAAAGCGGAAAATAAAAATTACAAAACTGTGACAGATAAAAATGATAATTTGAGCATAGAAAGAACTTCTAAGATACAAATCACGGCTAAGAAATCTAAAGTTATAAGTTTATTTGATGATGATGAAGATTTAAGCAATGATGATGATATTTTTGCTAGTTTTAAAAATTCAAAACAATCGAAAAGTAATACCAATAGGAATTTAAACCTTTTTGGTGATGAAGATGACATTAACCAAAATAGATCTTTAAAAATTGATAAAAACAAAAGTGCCACTTTGTTTGGCGATGAACATGATGATACAGTAAATCAAGATTATAACACTGATAATTTGGGACATAAATCAGAAATAGACAACTCTGTAAAAAGTATTGATGAAAAAACTAATAAAATAAAAGTTGTACAAGAAAGCTCAGTTATTAATAAGGATAATTTAAGTGAAAAGAAACTAACAAGTAGAAAGAACGTCGATTTAATTGAAAATGAATCTGCTCAAAATAAGTTTGCTGAAATTGGAAAAGAAAATCAAGGTATGTAAAAAAGTAATAGTGCATATTTTAAAGACGAATAATGTAATTTTAAATGTTTTCTAATTTTGAAACGAAATAATTAAAAAAAAAATTCACTATAAAGCCGTGTTTTACTAAAAACTATATTTTTTCGACTTCCACTTAAAGAATAATGCTAAAATCTCCAACCATGTATCACAAAATAATGGGAGTGATTGTTTCCCTCTGGAAAACAACTACTCGTTTGGCTAATACCGCAATAATTTTGATTTTGCTTTGGTACTAAGAAAAATATCATTCTTCAATTGTTTCCGTCTTTATTAGAACACATCAGTAAGAAATAAACATTCTCAATTCCAATTTCTAATAGAACCTGTAGAGGTGTATGTGAACTAGGCACTACCAGTAAGCTTTGATTTTGCTTAATAGGTATAGATGACGCTACTTTATAGGTCCTTAATCTCACTCAACCAGCATGCAGGTATAGTAGTGAATTTTACATCTTTTGGAAAGCAAAATCAAAGATAGAATATTGCAATTTAATTTCTTTATCTGCTGTTCTTCCTTTGGATATAACCTGTTGAGGTATTAGCCAAAGGAGTAGTTGTTTTCCGTAGGGAAACGGTCGCTCCTATTTTGTAACATATGGCTTTGCATTTTATTTTACAAAATTAGAGTGTTGTAAATAATTTTCTATTTTTTTTCTTTGGATTTTATTTAATGAGATAAATGAAACTTACGATCTGTACCACATACAATAGTTAAATAAGGAATATTTGGTGGCCGGTTTTGGCTATAAAGCCATTAATAATCAAATTTGTACATACCTTTTAAATACGGAATTATTGAAGTTCTATGGTGGTAGGACATGCGATTTAAAGCTAATACAGACTATTATTTAGAATTCAATCAATGCTTTGTTGCTGACAAGTTTGATTTTAGTAGTTCCTTCACGTGTTCGTTTACAGCTTAATATCCAATTACATTGTCCACTAAGTGTCATCCATCGCCACCTGTGCAGAATTCCTTGTAGAAAAAATAAAAAAGCGATATATTTAGAAGCTTCAATGATATAATGTTTATAATTTACACACTGCTTTTTCCATTTTACCTTCTTCAAATGATGTTCTCAAATCTAATTAATAGTTTTTTATTATTTTTAAAACTTCATTAATTCTGTATTTCATTATTAACACCGCTATTTTTTTAAACCTTATTTTGTAATTGAAGACACGTGTGGATAAAGGTGTCATGTCACAAAAAAATTATTTCGAGAAAAACGAGTTTAAATTTTTACAATTGCATTATGATATAATATGGCTCATGATATCTTCCTATCTGATAGCAGTTGTTTATCAAAATTGGAAATCAGAACTATCACAAACAAAAAATGTAGTATACCTATTTTAAATATACACACATCACCAAAATTCTTGGACATCCTTATGTTTGTCAAAATGAGACACTATTATTAAAAATCAAGAAGTGTGTTATATAGTAATTTTAATTTGGTTATGTATCCAATATAAATTGGCTGAATTAAATTTTAACTGAACAAGAAAAAAATACAAACGAAAAATAGTGCATAATCAAATGATTATTATTACTATTATTCTTCTGAATTTGAAATCCAGAAGAAAACCACTTTAGAGCGAAATCAAAAATTCATTAATATTCGGTCCTCCCCTGTTCTGTAGTAAGGTATTAACTCGCCTGTGCATGAAAACAATAAAGGTGTTAATGTAATCCATTGGGATGTTGTTCCATTCTTCTTGGACCGCGACTGTGAGTTCCTGGAGGGTGATAAGAGGATTAATTCCATTTGAGATTGCTCTTCCAACGAAATCCCACATGTGCTCAATGGGATTCATATCTGGCGAATTTGCTGGCCACGGTAGTCTTTGAATATTCTGAATTTCTAGTGCATTTTGTACCCTTCTCTTTCGATGGGGCTCATTGTCATCCATGAAAGTAAAATTGGCTCCAATTTAATTTCGGAGAGGATAAATAATGGGTTCAATAATGTTTCGAACATATCTATCAGCTGTCATAGTGTCTGGAATGGGAATAAGCTGCGTACGACGACCATGCATTATGCCTCCCCAAAACATTACGGTTCATCCTTGGTATGGAACGACCTCTCTGGCAAAAGATAGTCTTTCTGGTCGCCCTGGCCCTCTCCAAACTCTGTGTCGCCGACTATCGCTAATTAAACCATATCTGGTTTCTTCGCCACTGAGCTAAAAGCCAGTCTCTGTTTCTGTGCCCACTGTAGACGAGCAGCTATATGTCTGGGAAGTAACCTGGGTACTCTTAATGATCTCCTAGATCGTAAATTGACTCCAGCAAGTCTCCACTGTATTGTGGCACTGGAAATGAATCGACCATACGTTCTTCTAAAATGAGTTCGGACAGCTGAGACTGTTACGGTTCGATTTCGACGTACCTAACCTGCTACATACCGATCTTCTCTTGGATCAGTTACCCTAGGACGTCCAGTCCCACGTCTCCAGTCAACGCCGTTAGTTTCCTGGTACAAACGCCCGAATAGCGCGGAGAATCCCTAGTCTATCTGCTATTCGATGATTCGGCAGACCCTCATCGTGCAAAGCCACTATTCTTGCTCTATTGAACACTGACATTCTATTGCCAGGCATTGTTGCAAAAAAACTAAACAATCACTTAAACACGCAAAATCGATATGAACCACTTTTTAAACATTGGTACCTAAAATTGTGGGAAATTGTTTTTAGAAACATTTTTAGATGCTTATCAATGGTGAAATAAAGATAATGTGTACAAAAAAGCAGCCATGATAAATACTTCGTTTTAATATTTATGAGGAGGTTCAAGAATTTTGGCCATGTGTTATTAAGCCATAAAAATAATTTTTTTAAAAAATGTGACATGCCACCTTTATCCACTTGTGTCTTCAATTACAGGCTGGCTTTGCCGCCGAAACCGATTGCTAAATATTTCTTATTATACTATTGTATGTGGTATAGATTATGAGTTTTATTTATATCTTAGAATATGCACACATTTGATAAGTTGAATTTCTTCCTTTGATTATATAAGTCAATGCCTGTTGTGGTATTAACCAAAGTTTTATTTTGTTACCCATTGCTTCGTTCTTCTTTAATGAATACGAAACAAATAATTTAATATTTTTTTAGTTGCCAAAGATACCTCAGAAATATTTAAGGATAATACATTTGAAAATGATATTAAAAAACCTGTTTCTTCCGACATACCAAAAAAAATCAGTCTCTTTGATGATGACGAAGACGAGGATGATATTTTTTCGAATGTTACAAAGAAGCTCGATTTTAAATTATTTGAAGATCCTGAAAGTCGTGAAGATCTGTTTAACATAAACATTAATGAAACTGAGAAAAGTGCTGATATAAAAAATGCTGATATAAAAAAAACTAGTGAAATTATTAGAAATGACAATTTAAAAGCTGATTCAAAATCTGAGATCATTGAATCTGTGCCGAATGAAAACAGTATTAAAGATGAAACTATAAATACAACCAAAGACAAATATAAATCGCAAAATAAATTGTTACTTGAAGATGAATTGTTTAATAAAAATGATAAACTAATAGATACTGATGGTAAAATTAATATTTTTGAAGAAACAATGGGTAAGTTAATTAATTGTCAATCAAATTATTGCCAAAACACTTAAAAATAATCTATTGAACTTCTATTGCTGATTAAGGATGCCCTATTTTTAGTAGGAGTGGTGCTTCTAATTCCTTAAATTGTAAAATCAGGGTTAGTTGTGTGGTTTACCACCCCCATACCGCTTCGATTTTTGTTTAAATCTCAAATTTTATTATTTACTTCAGTTTTACTTTAAATTCTATACTTACTGTATTTGGCATTTTTCCTCTAGTAGTAATAGTAGTGATCGTCCAGTTAATTAAATGATAATTTATACACCTACATTGAGATAATGTTAATTCAGATAAACCAGTTTGATGCAAATTGGTAAATAAAACCATACAAAATTTATACTTAAACCCTTTTATTTTTCATAGTTTAAAACGTAACGTAATAATTTGCAAAGTATATTATTACAATAGGGACTTTTTACCGAGATCTCACTTGAGTCCCGCTCAAATGCGGAACACGTTTATTTGCTATCAAGATATATTTTATTTAGCTTAATTTTGTCCTAGATATACACAGGATTGTATTTTCTCGGGTATTTATTTCGACAAATATATAGAGGTGATGACCAACGGAGTTATCGAACAGCGCCAATTTGCCAGTTGGTTAACTAACTGTGTTGGTGTTCACATATACTTAATGGTTCAAACCTAGTAGAACGGGTGCCTAGTCTTTGAGCCAACGAACAGTGTCAATTCACCAGTTGGTTAACTTACTATTTAATTTAACCATCTAGGTTTGTGTAGATTTGTGTGCATAAATATATACACACAACCAAACCTATATGGAATCACCCAGTATTAATATGAATTATTCGTTTAATTTTTTTTTTGTTACAAGCGTTGAAAAAGTACATGTATTTACTAATAAAAACAGGTACATGAACTAAATAACTTTATAACATTTATCCTGATAGTGTCGCTTTTATGTTTCGCCTGCAAGTCGCATTGAGTTTATAATTTATTTCTTATCGCACATTTAAAAAAAAAATGCCGTACGTGGGGTTATCGGAAGTCCAGAGGGGAAGAATTGTTACTCTAGCAGAACAAGGCATGCCACAAAGGCAGATTGCAAGAACGGTGGGGGTTACGCAAGGGGTTGTTTCTAAAACCTATTCAAGATTTCTGAAATTGGGAACCCTAAGGAATAGACCGAGGAGAAGTCGTGGAAGAGTAACTACAGAAAGGCAAGATCGCTTTGTAGCTCAATTAGCAAGAAGAAATCCCACATCTCATCCAGAGCTTCAAAGGTAACTTTTGCAAGCTACAGGTGTGAGTGTTTCTGTCTAAATTATCAGAAGACTTCGCGCTCGGGAATTATTTAGCAGAAGATAGTTAAGGGTCCCAGAACTTTCAAGGCAAAATAGAGCTGACCGTTTAAATTGGTATTTGCAGCATGAAAATTGGACTATTGAAGAATGGAAAAATGTCTTATTTTCGGATGAGACCAGAATCGGCCTACGATCCGATGACCGGCGAATTCGCATTTTAAGAGGTAGAGAGAGACAAGCTAGACTCCGTGCTGCCAAACCTATCCCGAAATACAAACGAGGTACTGTAATATTTTGGGGTGGAATTATGATTCGTGAAAGAATTCCTTTAATTCCCATTCGACAGACCCTAACAGGTCAAAGGTATGTAGATGTAGTTTTGCAACCTGTAATCAGGCTCTGGCGAGGTGGTTTTGGTGATTTTTTCTTATTTATGCAAGATAATGCACCTTCACATCCCAGTAGAGTTGGAAAATTTTTCTTAGAAACAGAAGGTGTTACAGTTTTAGAGTGGTCTTCTTGCTCATATGATCTTAGCCCCATAGAGCACATATGGGATAGGATCAAAAGAAAGATTAGAGCTCGTCAAAATAACCCTGGTAACACAGAGCAATTTATGCAAGTGATTTTAGAGGAATGAGCAAATATTCCCCAAAAACAAATTAACAACTTGAGAGATAGTATGCCTCGTCGAATTCGTGCTTGCATCGATGCTAGAGCTGGCAATACTGATTATTAAAAATTTTTAAATACCATTATTTCTTGTTAAGAGCAAACATGATGGGCGCTCCTCCGCCAAAAATCAATTTTACATTTGAGGCAATTAAAAAAAAATGGTTCAAGCCAATCGTTCTAAAAATGAACCAAGAATGACGCTAAATCGCGAAAAAACTTATATTTTTAAAGAAAAACAACAAAAATTTAAACTTTTTAACCAATTTAATTTTTTGACTCTTTAGCGTCATTCTATAACAAATATCTTAACTATTTTCTAAATAACTTTTTTTTAAAAAGATTACCAATTTTAAACAGGACCAAAGATTAACATAGTTTTCATTCCGATACTAATTCTATTAAAACAATGATACCAGTGAATATGGCAACGCTGCTAGTCTATGAAGCCCGTGGTTAAAAGGGTAGCTGCTGTTTAGTTAAATTTGTTAATTCCTGTGTCGAAAAATAGGTAGTTGTTTTTGAAGAGGTGCGAAATTATTGTGATCGTCTTAGTTTGTTGTTGAGGCGTTGTTAGGTTTTTAGTTAATTTATGAAATGAAAAATTCTGGAAGGCAAAAATGCTACCACAGCTGACAAATTTCTATTTTAATTGTTTGCTGCCAAAGTTAATAAATCCTAGAGAAATACGACATGTGCCAATTAGGGAAAAGAGATTGTCAAGGATTTTGCCCGCTTAAAAAAATGTAATATACAGAGTGTTTCTAAATACATGCGACAAAATTCAGGAGGTGATTGCTGGTATGAAATTAAGATGGGTCTTTCCTATAACAAAACTTTCCTCAGCCCACCCCTTTTCGAGATATCACGCTTAAAAGGTGGTGACTAAAATTGAGTTTTAATTTTTTTTTCTAAAATTTCAGTAACTTGAAATTCTGTAATCGCAAAGGACTAACCACGGGTATTTTTTCAATATTTCTGTTACATTATAGGGGGGTGAAATTAGCAACACTTACTTTATTTCATATCAAAACTTTTTTTCGAGATGAACTTTTATAAAATCAAATTATAACTTGAAATCCTTGTTTTATTTAATTTTTTTTTATTCTTGAATTTTTTTCCCAAAACCAATAGCTTCAGAGAAAAAAAAATTAACACCTTAATTTATCATTTTTTTTAATAAATTGAGTGGAAAACAGTATTTTTTTTTCTATGAAGCTATTGGTTTTGGAAAAAAAAAATTAAAAATAAAAAAAATATTTAAATAAAACAAGGCTTTCAAATTACAAAATTATTTCATAAAACTTCATCTCGAAAAAAAGTTTTGATATGAAATAAAGTAAGGGTTGCTAATTTCGCCCCCCTATAATTTAACAGGAATATTGAAAAAATAACCGTGGTTAGTCCTTTGCGAGTGCACAAAAATTACAGAATTTCAAGTTTCTAGCTTTACTGAAATTTTAGAAAAAAAATAGAAACTCAATTTTAGTCACCACCTCTTAAGGGTGATATCTCGGAAAGGGGTGGGCTGAGGAAATTTTGTTATAGGAAAGACAAATCTTAATTTCATACGAGCAATCACCTCCTGAAATTTGTCGCATGAATTTTTAAACACCCTGTATGTTGGTATATTAAGGTCAATGCAGCAGCCTTTATAATTTTCGGACAAGGATATTTCAAAAAGTGATTTTATTAAAAAATTAAAATTTTGGCAAAATAAATTAGGTAATATTAACTAGATATGCCTATATTTTAAAGTTTTAATTCCCTTCAGTTTCCGAGAAAAAAAATCAAATATGATAATGAAAATAAATGCATTCTTAATATAATCCCGAAATTTAAACTCTTAATGTCTTGGTAATGATTTTTTAAAATTCGCCAAAATTAGTGGCTAAAATGCCTCGTTAAGTGCTGCCTTCTGGTGTAACGCGCTTGTAACTATCGTATCGTACACTCTGTCATTATTCGTTTCTTGCAACAATTTACACCAGTTTACACCAGAAGATAGCACTTAACGAGGCGTTTTAGCCACTAATTTTGGCGAATTTTAAGAAATCATTAACAAGACATTAGGAGCTTAAATTTGGGGATTATATTAAGAATAGTGCTGTCGAGGAATGCATATGCATATTCTAGATATTATTACCTAATTTATTTTGCCAAAATTTAAATATTTTGAGATATTCTTGTCCAAAAATTATAAGGGGTGTGATCACCTTAAGATTGAAAGAGAATTAGCTTTAATTCATGAGATGCAAAGCATCATAATTGTCGCGTCTCAAAAACCACCTGCTGCCAAGAGAAAATTTTGATTCAACAGTATTGTGTATTTTGTGTATTTTAAAAAATTAACATTTCGTGTTTTTTTAATTTAATAATCTATGAAAATTTTTATACAGACATTAAAAAATTGTTATATTAATATACTTATTTAATTGTACTTATATTTGATTACAATTAGAAGAACACCGCTACGTCATAACTATTATTTCGAATTTCCAATATAAGGGTGTCCCGAAATTAGACGGTCATATTTTAACAGCGTAATCTATATCCTACAAGTATTAGAAATTAAAAATTAAAAAAAAAACCGAATTAAAAAACGTGCAGATACCGTCACCACATCTTAACCAAATTTATATGGGACCACCCCTGAAGTACCCCCTTACTAACAAAAAAAGAATCGTATAAATCGGACAAGGTGGTAAAGCATTATCGCTAAACATACTAAAAAATGAAGAGTTTGAGGATTTTCTCATGGGCCCAATTATTAGATTTTGACCAAATTTATATGGGACCACCCCTGAAGTACCCCCTTTCTAACAGAATCATTGAAATCGGACACCGTGTTAAAGAATTATCGCTGAACATGAACATGAAGTCGGTTAAAAATAGGAGTAAAAGTTTATATAAACATAGGTCCGAAAACGTTTCGTTTTCGAGATACAGGGTGTTCAAGTGAAGTCCAGATGGCACATTTTTGTAAATATGTTCCAAAATTTCTTTAGTTGCCGGTTTTCCAAAGTTAAAAAAAAAATAAAATTTCTGATTCTACAGACTTACTAATTATTGTTTACACTTTCGAATAAGGTAACATGCTTTTCTCTTGAAAATGGCGCGTCCCAGCGAGATGCAACAAATGCAGCTTTATTATACAGAAAATATTGGTTTTCCAAATTTTATAGTCAAAAATGTTAAAAACTATCAACAAAAAAACTTAGAGCATTTTTACCCTAAGATCCCCCTAACTTACCCACCTAAGAAGATGATCAAAAACTGGGGCTTAGTCCAATAAATGGAGCGTTAAAAGGTAAGTATTTGTACCAAATTTTACCTAATTATCTTTAAACGTTTAGAAAATATTTACAAAAGTGTGGTATCAGGACTTCACCTTTAACACCCTGTATCCCGGAAAAGAAACGTTTTCGGACCTATGTTTATATGAACGTTTACTACTATTTTAGGATGTAGATTGCGCTGTTAAAATATGACCGTCTAATTTCGGGACACCCTGTATATCATCTATAACTATCAATAAATAAAAAATATTTGAGTTGTTTGGTTTAAAAATAGTATTCCTACATTCCTATAATATTAACAAGCCACTAAACCCCCAGTAAGCGGCGATAGCCAACGAATTACTTCGCCAATTGATGATATATACACACCTGTGTTTATGTAATTGTAATCGGACTTTACCCAATCCTATGATTATTCTTCAGCGCACGACAACCGACATTGCCAAATTTATGTAGTGAACAAGGTTCCAAATACTTTAAGGGGAGGTCGTTAGATCCGTGCGGTGTGACGTCAGAAGGGATTGAATTGCTCTTAACTTGTCATTTTCAGAAAAACTATTTTTATAGAAATCTTCACTTTTTGTTATTTGGTTCTGTTATTAAGTAAATTGTAATAAGTTTTATTTATTTTTGTAATAAACTTGGTTTGGAAAAACTGCTCTTTACTTTTCAATTACTTTTTTTTTAATTAAATTCTATTTTTCGAAATTACTGGGCGATTCCATATAAGTTTGGTTGTGTGTATTTCTAAAATATTGATTTTTGTGATTTATATTGAAGTGACCCAATTTCATCCATCGAAAAACAAATGTCTAACTTTACTGTCTTTCGGAGTGAATGCCTGAAGGCCATCTGGTGTATTGGGTTACATGATATTTTAAAGCAAATGTCATGAAACTCCGGCGATATCTCAAAGAAAGTAACTTTTTCGACTCACGATTGAAATTACAAACATTAGGTTCGTCTAAACTAGACATTATGTACTAATTTTATTTAGCGTTGTGACGGTAACGTAGGAGCGTCGATAGGAAAAGCGTTGGTTAGGAAGAGTGTCGGTTTAGGAAAGGTACTGAATACTGAACTTGAAATATAACTAAATTTGAAAAGCAACTGAATTAGACTGGAGACTGGATTTAAAATAATAATTAATCTCGAGTTCCCGGAGTTGGGTATTTATACCCGTTTTAGTGACTTTTTGTGACGTCCGTTTGTCGTAACTCCGGTGGGAACGAATTTGAGTGGATAAAAAGGGATGGAAGATTTATTTATTTATTTTGTGTCGATATTATGTCGAAATCGGTGTTAATATTCTTAAGATAAGCGCATTAACTGTTTTAATGATTATTACTTCATGAAAAGAATTATTTCCATTTTAATTTTTGGGAGTTTTAATAGTCATAAATTGTAGAAGTGTAGAATTTTAATTGTGTTCAGATTAAAAATAAAATCATGAGTTGTCCTCTTGACAAGCCCCAGCATTTTCATTGATGTTTAAACTGTAAAATTAATATGGCTATTAAAGCTCATGAAACAGACAAATATGATCTCTAGATCCTTGATTTGATAAACAGAGTCCATACCATGAACAAATAGACTATAACTAACTACGACAAAATCACAAAAACACCAATTTGTAAGTTTATTTAAATCATTTCAAATTCTTTGTGTCATCATAATCATTAATCTGCAAATAATGTAGCTTTAGTGGCGAATGTCATGGCCTTTGATATTCCTGTCGATCTGTAATTATTAAAGAATACATAAAAATCGTTTGTATTTCAATAGTTTTTAATTTATTCATGATTTTTGTTCAATTTATGATTCAATACTCTTTACAGACAAAAAACCGCGAAAACCCGTAGTAGCAGCTAAACCCCAATTACATCCTACCACTATTCAAACTCGTACAGATGAATCTGTATCTACTGAAGTGCCAATTATCAAATTTGCAACGTCTTCGACTTCAGATCAACCTCCACCAGTCGTTAATTTATTCGGTTCGACTCCACCTCCTGTTGATGATGATGATTGGGACACGAAATCTGATAATTTCTCCGATACGGAGGATTTTGTTTCATATCGAGGACAGGAAAATAGTCAACGGTCGAATTTGTTTGATAATGAACCACCTTCTTTGAATGGATATGAGTCTAGCGGTATCGAGAGAGATCATAGAAATACAAGGCAAGTAATGTTTTTTGTTTTTTAATAAAGCTATAGCCTTTTGGAATTAATTTATCATTTCGAAAAATAATTTTTTTAATCTCCAAATGTTTTAATAGTTAAATTTTCGAAGACTAATTTCTCGAATTACAATTTTTCGAAATAAAAATTTTTGATATCCAAATTAATGTTTGAAAAACATTTTAAAAATATTGGTACTCAGCAAGTACCGAATTATTGCAGCATCAGGATCGCAAAATTTTGTCAAAGCACTTTGTAAATGATTTGCTATTTAAAAAGTATGACTACTATAGCTAATTACAAAAGTAAACTACCTGACGATCTGCATAATGCGCCTGGAAAGAACATGAACTGAGACGGTAAAGTACCTGAGAGTATTATCACAGTGGGGGTGCTCTAATCCCATACATGAACTCTAATGATTGAATATAAATATAATAATAAACCATAAAGGAAAAAGAGAAACTCAAAGACCGCATCACACAAACAACGAGCGACCATTCCCTTTTGAAAACAACTACTCCCTTGGATAATACCGCAACAGACATTGCTTTATATCAAAAAGTGAATAGCAGAAATAGAAAATAATTTTCAACACTCTAACTTTGATTGTGCTTCCTAAGGAGAAAGTCATACTTTGACCGGTTTCGTCCACGATACACAGACTTAGGGCTCTTTCAGACAACGATTTCGCCCGTACGAAAAAAAATTCGTACGGATTTTTTCCGTGCGTCGTTCATAGTAAACTAATAAAATTAACTACAGCTTTCATACTGGACGGAGACGGATTTTTTCCGTGCGTCGTTCATAGTAAACTAATAAAATTAACTACAGCTTTCATACTGGACGGAGACGGATTTTTTCCGTACAGTCGATTTGAAAACAGCCGTGTCAACGACTGAACTGTACGGTGCCGTACTGTCGCCGTCAGTAGGGGGAAATTGTATGTGGCAATGATGAACCGGTTTTAATGAACCAGTTTTAGTGAGAAAGTATGTATGTGGCAATGATGAGCTGGTTTTTATATGATGAAAGGGGGGCTTTGGAGGAAACCAGTCATGGGCAGACATGCTATTAACCTTTCATAGCCTTCATATTCAGAAACTAGTTTGACGACCTCCTGGTTTAAAAAATATAAAGAGACAATGCCTTGGTATAACCTTAAGACACCTGTCTAGACATTAGGAAAAACACAAATAAGCCAGAACAAGTTTATTTATAGGAAGGGTAGAAAAAATGCAAATATTTATAAATAATCTAATTTAATTGTTACAATAATTTTATTACAATTTTTAGGAGCGTAATTATTTAAGTCAATTTTTTTAACCATTGTGTGTTCATAATAACTCAAATCAGACCAGTCATATAATGCGCCATCGTACAGATTTTCATGTATTTTGATAACAAGATGTGGTAGTTTTCCATAGCTCTCCACCTTTGAGTAAACATTTATTGTTGAAAATTTATTGAATTTGTTTCTAGTATATTTTTTATAGAAATAACCAGTACAGTTGTAAGCATCTACAAAATCACCATCAACTTTGATATATGCATATAGCCCCATTTTAATAGTGAATGTCTTAAAAAATCGCTTTTATATAAATATCTTTTTTAATGCACGCCCCCCACCTCTATGAATAAAGGTATATTAAAAGAAGTTGCACTCACTGTAAACATCAGTACAAAATGTTTTCAAATCGCAAAAACGATGTTTTTGTTGGTGAAAAAAAGTTTTATTTGAATAATTCAAAAAGTAAACACGTTGTAGTATGTTTATCTCACCATAATAATTTTTCACCATGTGTTGTGATATCTGGAAACAATAAAGATTCTGTAATCTTTAATGAAAAGGAGTGGCAAGATTTTCTCTCTTACGAGAACACAATTAATGATTTTTTAAAATCATCCACATTTAGAGACTCGATTGATCATGGAAAGTTTTTTTTGGAATTTAAACAGTTTTCTAAATCCAATACCATCAGAATATTTACTGGAGATTCTAACATTTATTTGGGATCGTGCAGTATTTTAAAGCTTTGGCATATTCTACCTTTAATAACATATCATTTGGATCTATTAAGAAATCAAGACTTTGCAAGCTCATTAAAAGTTCTTCAACTAGGTGTTAAAAATAGTGTTGATATTGTTAACGACGGTCTCAAAATAATGGAACCTATCAAAAGTATAAATTTAATGGTTTATGAAATGGCTTTAAAATTGATATATCTACACCCTGAGGTGTTGAATGAAGATTTACAACTATGAAGAGAGTAACTTTTAGAGAAGATCAAAATAAAGTCCACCACATGATCGCCTGGGGATTTGCTTACAGAGATTCTAGAAGATGTGATATAATAGACAGAATTAGGTTTGGTTGTCGTATTCAAGAAACTGAAAAAATTATTAATCCAATTTTAGATGTAAATCATAGAAATAAGATTTATAAAAAAATAAAAGATTTTAATTAAATAGTTTTTATTTAGTTAGTGGGAGTAGGGGTAATATAATAAAAGGTAAGCGTTAAGAAAACTTCATTATTAATAATGGGGTGGGATCATAGCATTGAGGTTACTTTCGAGTGTTGCGGTAAAAAGTATGAAATATGTGAATATAAGATAAACCGATTGGCACTAGCCATTAAGAAATGTAATTGTGAAAATATTAAAATTTATATATGGTCTGCGGTTTCTGAGGGATATGGATATCCAACTGTCGTAGCCGCTTATTGGTTAAATGATCCCATTGATATGGACGTTCCAATCATAATTAGTAACCCAATCTGTTTCATGGAATTTGATGAATTTTATCTTAATGAGAATGATGGCGAGCATGGTAATCAACTAAGCTGTGAAATACCCAATTGTGAATCAGCAGCATGGATTGTAGCTTTGTCTGAAAATGATAACGTAAATAATTCTTATAATGGAGAGGGTAACATTATATGCAAATCGAAAGGGTTATATAAAAAAGATGAAGATCGTATAATTAAAGAAATAAAAGAAAAAAATCAGGAGTCAATCAAAAAGTATGGTCATGCGCTTTACTACCCGAAACGAAATATGTTTAATGATTCAGCATTATTATGTTTTACTGAATAAACCTTAATTTGTTTAACCTTCGTTTGTTTAACCTTAATCATATCCTTACCCACGTTTTAAAATTCAGGTACACAAAACCAGTTAAACAACTGTTTAGAAACTGGTTTCTCATTTCATTATTAAAGAAGTCTGCATTTCATCGAACTCTCTAGTTTCAAAAATATTGTGAGTGAGCAACATGCAGTGTAACAAGTGCAGTAAAGTATTTTTAAATAAATTTAATTTGAAGCGGCACCAACGGGATGTAGATTGCATGTGCCCCATTCCAAAAAAGAGAATAAAACCAATTGACATAGAAGTACTCGACAATGGTGTTAGTAAACTATCTTACGCATTTAAAAATCGTATCGCATCATACAGATTTTCTAACACGAATAAAAACAAAATCAATTACAATGACTTTTTAAATAATATCAAACATAAAGTTTTAAATAAAATCAGTGAATATTTGCAACTTCACACAAACCTGAAAGTAAATATGGAAGTATTTGGGATATATGTTAAACCAGATAAAGAAATGAGTGATATTAAATCCATGAATACGGAAAATAAAATTATTTCATATTCATCCAACCTCGAAGAAGTCTATGAAGAATTTAAACATGACATTATGACTCAAGCATCAGAATTCCAAACGAAAGACTCAAATTGGAGTTTACAGGAAATAATGTTTTTAGATGTAAACATAAATCGATTTAATAATATTGCTGCTTCTTCATACATAAAACTCCCTATATCAATAAATAATAAAAATGCCGTCATAAATATTGAAAATCAAGATAACGCCTGTTTTGCTTGGTCCATAAATGCAGCAATTTTTCCTGCGGAGGGTGACCCCAAAAACCCATCATCATACCCGCACTACGATACTCTGTTAGATTTTCAAGGTATTGATTTTCCAGTAAAACTAAAAGACATAAAAAAATTCGAGAATATGAATAACATTTCAGTAAACGTATTTGGAATAGAGCCTTATTACAAAGATTGTAAGAACATATATGAAATTGTGGGACCACTACATTTTACTTCACAGCGACAATCAACACACGTTAATTTATTGCTTGTATCAGATACAGATGGAAACAATCACTACTGCCTTATTACCGACTTGTCCCGACTTGTTAGAAGCCAGAAAACAAAGCATACTGAAAAAATACATATTTGTGATGGTTGTTTACAATCTTTTACAACTATAAACAAGTTAAAAGCTCATGAAGAACATGATTGTACACATGTATACACAGAACTTCCAACAACAGAAATAAAAAAAAATAAGTGTGGCCAATACAAACCAGAAAATATTTTAACATTCACTAACTTTGAAAAACAATTACAAGTGCCGTTTGTAATTTATGCAGACTTTGAATCTTTGTTAAAACCAGTAGACAATTGTGAAAATTTTAATGGTAATTCATTTAGTGTTAAAGTCTGTGAACACGAACCATATTCTTTTGCATTCTACCTTAAATGTAATTATGATGACAATTTATCCAAACTTGAAATGTATACAGGAACAAATGCTGCAAAAGTGTTTATACAAAAACTTGATGAAATCGTCCATGACTTGTATAATAACCATTTGAAGCATGTTAAGGTTATGCAACCACTTACACAAGAAGAACAGGATGCATATGATACAGCGACCATCTGTCACATCTGTGAAAAACCTTTCAATTCGACCAACAAAAAAGTTCGTGACCATTGCCACCTATCGGGGATATATAGAAATGCAGCACATAATTCCTGCAATTTAAACTATAAACAACCAAATTTTATTCCGGTGTTTTTTCATAATCTCACAAACTATGATAGTCATTTATTTATCAAGGAATTGACAACTAAAAAGGAATCCGTATCAGCAATCGCTCAAACAAAGGAAAAATACATTTCTTTTTCAAAGTCTATTTTGGTTAACAAATCTAACAATCCTAAGGTTCGGGATACATTTATAAAACTTCGATTTGTTGATTCGTTTCGATTTTTAGCAAAATCGCTGGATAAACTTAGTGAGACTTTAGAATCCAACCAATGTAATGAAGTTAGAAAATATTTCCCAAATGACCAGCAATTTAATTTAATGAGATGCAAAGGAGTTTTTCCTTATTCATATGTAAATTCATTTCAAAAATTAAATGAAGAAAAACTACCATTAAAAGATAATTTTTTTAATATTTTGAAGGGTGAATCAATTTCTGATATGGATTATGATAAGGCAAAAGAAATATGGGATATTTTTAATTGTAAAACTCTCAATGATTACGCAATGCTATACTTAAAAACGGATGTGCTTTTATTAGCAGATGTGTTTGAAAATTTTAGAAAAGTGTCAATGAAAGAATATAAACTCGATCCTGCGCAATATTTGACAGCACCTTCTTTGAGTTGGGATGCAATGTTGAAATATACTCAAATTGAATTAGAATTACTAACAGATATTGACATGCTACATTTTTTTAATAAAGGAATTAGAGGAGGTGTAGCTCAATGTAGTAAAAGAAAAGCTGAAGCTAATAATACATTTTTACCAAATTTTGATCCTTTGAAACCCGAAAGTTATATAATGTATCTGGATGCTACTAACTTATACGGAGCCGCCATGAGTGAACCCCTTCCATATGGTAATTTTAAATGGATAGATACAAATTTTGACTATAATTCAGTGGAAAATGATTCTTCCAAAGGCTATGTGTTGGAAGTAGATTTAGAATATCCACCAAATTTGCATGATACCCACAACGATCTTCCTTTTTGCCCTGAGAATATAACACCTCCAAAAAGTAAATACCCAAAACTGATTCCAAATTTATATCATAAAAAAAAGTATATTATTCATTACCGGAATTTGAAACAGTGTCTTAAATATGGTTTAAAATTAACAAAAATTCATAGAATTTTAGAATTTTCCCAATCAGCATGGTTAAAAAAGTATATTGACTTAAACACAAATCTTCGAAATAAAGCAAAAAATGACTTCGAAATGGAACTTTTTAAGCTGTTAGTCAATGCAATTTTCGGAAAAGCTTTGGAAAATGTACAAAAGCGGAAATGTATTCATTTATCAAGCCATTGGGAGAATACTTGTAGGTCTCTAGGTGCGAGGTCATTAATAGCAAAACCACAGTTTAAAACATGTTCCGTTTTCAATGAAAATTTGGTTGCTATACATTTAGGTAATGTAAAAGTGTATTACGATAAGCCCATATATATAGGATTTTCTGTGCTAGACATTTCAAAAACCATAATATATGAATTTTTTTATGGGTATATCAAAAAAATGTATGGTGATGCTGTAAAATTGTGTTATACTGATACCGATTCACTAATTCTAGAAGTGTTTACCAAAAACTTTTATGAAGATATAAAACAAAACATAGTTTATTTTGACACTTCTAACTATCCTGAATCTAATGAATATGGAATCCCTAAAACAAAATCAGTTGTTGGGAAAATGAAAGATGAATTTTGTGGCACTCCAATACAAGCATTTTATGGAACAGGTGCTAAGGCTTACTGCATAAAACTAGGCAAGACATTTAAGAATACAACTGAAATAAAAAAAGCTAAAGGTGTTTCGAGAAATGTAATAAAAAATCAACTTCAGGTATCTGACTACATTCGAATTATTGAAAATGGTGATATGATATATAGAAAGATGTATGTTTTTATATCATCACTACATACCATCTACACTGAACTTAAAAATAAGGTTGCACTTTCAGCTAAAGATGATAAACGGTATGTCATACCACACGATGTAAATACTTTAGCATGGGGGCATCTACTTACCAATCATAGGATGATAACTGGAACCATTGATGAATTGATACAAAATATGCAAGAACTAATAGATTTAGATAATTTGTAAATAATTATGTAATAAAACATTTTATATTTAATATTTTTTATTTTTTTTTTTTTTTTTTTTTTTTTTTTTTTTTTTTTTTTTTTTTTTTTTTTTTTTAAAGGTTTACATTACATAAGCGACAATCTGTTTGGCTGCTGGGGGGACCATCAATATGTGTGATCCATTCTGGACGATTGTAATGGATAAAGCACGGCAATCTTGTTTGAAGATTGAAATCTTGGGTGTATTCTCTTGGTAATTTATGCCAAGCATAAAGAAGTTCTAAAGGTCTTGCTTTTTCCAATAAGTATTTCATAGGAAAATATTCTAATTCTTCTGTTGTAAAATTATACAAACTTTTACCATTTCGGTGTTCATCCACTAATTTTATTATCATACAGCAACACTTTTCCATATTTTTAAAGTATACTTTATTAACAATTCAAATACGAGAACTGAAACACACACTGATATATAGACAACTAGTCCATTATCAGTTTTAGCACTCCCTTTTATATAATAGGTATAGAGTTGATTCCAATTAGTACTTTCAACTTTGTTATTCGTCCATTCAAGTCGCAACTTGTATTTTGTACTATTATTGGGAATAATAGATGTTAGTGTAGGAACATTATTTGCTTTATAAAGCTCCATTCTTTTCCAGTTTGTATCGTTATCATTGAAACAAATAAAAACATCTTTAGCACCAATAGGATACTGAATAAACAGTGTGCCATTAAAAATAGCTTGTAAAATTATAAAGTGTGAAGGCAACATTTTAAAGTAAACTAGTATTAATTTTTAATATTGTCTTTTATATATACATTGCATATATTGGTAAAAAGCAAGTAAAAATGGGGGGGAATCAAATTAAAAAATATATTTTTTATTTTTTAATAAATCTATTCAAATCAGTAAATACATTACACCATTTTTTATATTCTTCATTATTTAATAATATTTTCGCAAATTCTTCACCAATATTTTTTTTAAATTTATTCAATTTTATAGGTTGAATTCTTTTTTTTCTGTTGGAGTCATCTTCTTGCATTTTTAAAATAGTTCTTTAATTGGTGAATTAAGAATTAGTAAAAAATCCGCCAAACACCGCTCACTCACTTTTAAAGGTCTGGTCTGTTTACAATATTGAGAGCAAAAACCTAATATTAGCCTAGGTCTTCTTGGTAAAAATATATCTGGTAAAAGATTTTTAACTTTAACTTGCCTTCGACATACACAACACACTTTACTTTCTATAATTATTAAATCGGGTGATGGTTTTTCTTCATACTTTATATCAAGTTCTTTAAACTTTTTCATATTACTGAAAATAATAACTTTATCTTCAATATATATATATATATATACATTTTTACAACTTGTCGTGATTGGTATTAAACCAGTCTCTGAAGGTCATCATCTGTCTCAATAACATCAGACCGGTTATTCAAGCCAATTTTAGTACTGAGAGTAAATGTCATTAAACCAGATATGATAATTTTTTCCAGAGTTTTGTATATTGTTATAATGAATAATAAAACTATAAACGTGTAAAAATATGCATCTATAGCAGATAGTAAAAAGAATGACAATAAAATAATTCGAAAAAACGAACATTTTTCTTCATTTATTTTTTTGTAGACTCCATCATTTTAGCATAGCTACAATTGGGACTAAATTTTAAATGATCTAAAATCGGAACATCACCAGGCTTCCATTTATTAATTTCAATATTACATTCAAAACATTTAACAACATCTTCTTCATCAATGTAGTGGAATCCAGCTAGAGCTAAGTCTATTGGAGATACAACGCCTTTCCAATTTTCAAACGGCTTTAATCTGTGATCAAATAATTCCAAAAAGCGTGAGTAATCGTTAGCACACATATTGATTTTAAGGAATTAATTTAAGGTTGTAGTTTTAAATACCTTTAAAGGTGAGGGTTACATAAAAAATATTATATTATATTTTTAAAATTTATTGCATTATAAAATTTTTATATAAAAAATAAACATTTGATATAGCACAAATACAATTATTACTAGTATGATAAAAACATTTGGGTTCCATTAACTGAAGTGATGGCTGCTCATCAAATTCGTATACTGGTGCTAGGGAGTGTTTTTTGATATAATTGGCTTTTTCCATTCCTTTAACGTAAACCATATCAACTTGTTTTGTTAAAGATTGTAAAATATTACAAAACTGGTGTACTGGAGTAAAACCAATGTTCCAATCAATAAAATGATAATTATTCATTAACCAGGTGGCTTGTCGGTGTAAATCAGGGGAGAGTAATCTTATAGGAAATGGTGGTTTAAATACATAATGACATATATGAAAACCGTCATAAGCAGCAAATTCTTTTACAAGAAATTTATTATTTTCCAGCTTAAATCCTTGTATATCCACAACGAGTTTTTTCATAATTTTAATTCTCGAACTTTTTTGATAATATTTTTCATTTGTTTATAAAATTCAATATCTTGTTGAAGTTTTCGTAAATTATAAAAATGTCTGTCTAGTCTTTCTTTTAATGACATATTAAATAAATTAATATAGGACATGGTTTTTATAGCTATATTTACGCATGCGCATTAATATTGTTTAACAATCTTTGTTGTTGGATTATAAGTAAATTCTTTCTCGTGAAGAATAAGGCAAAAAGCAGATGTTTCTGATGTTGTTGGTTCATCAGTTTCAAATTCAATTCTCAAAACAATACTACCTGATTGTAAAACTTCTTTTTGTCTTGAACAATCAATATGAACTAATGGGGCATTATTTTTAAATTCAATGGGGTTATATATTGGTTGATTCATGTGAAGGTCATAATAGCTTTCTTGGAAATTAGCAAACATTTCATACAAAGTGGCAAATTTATTATTGTCAAAATCTAAATTTAAATCATTATATGGATACCTTTCCGAATTTAAAAATATTCGAATATTATTAAGTTTACAATGGTCAAATTTACTAAAATCTTTTGTTAAATTACCCTTTCTACTTTTTTGAAACGCAATAATAACATGCCTTGGAGTCTCAATTTTGGAACTTGTTTTTACTACCCACGTATTTATTTTCGAAGAACTCAAGGATGGATATTGTATCATTTGCCAAGAGCGAAATTTAATTGGTAATTCTTTATTGCTTTTACTAATATTAGTTAGTCGAAGTTGTTGGCTTAAGCTAGGTTTTATATGTGGTATTGACCAATATAACCTATTTAATTCAATCATTGGTTTTTCAGTTTGATCAGAACTTATCACACTATCGATGTCATCACTTGATCTAATCAATACCAATTCTTGTTTCATATTCATAATAATTTTTTTATAGTCTTCAAAAAAACCTGATAACATTTTTAAAGGTATGCAAACATTAAAGTTTCCATCCTTATCTACTAATATTTTTTCAATCTCTACTGTTGTAACACCTTTAGAATCTGTAACAATTTTTTTGATTTCTTTAGGGTACCATCCTGCATTTTGCATTAAAACACTTTCGTTTTCATTTAGACTTAGATAATTTTTTATTGTTGAAGTTAAACCTAAGTCTCTTACAGAATCTATTACAACCCCATTTAATTCATAACGTAGCTCGCGGAATAAAAATGCTATCGCGTTGTTAATAAATTTTAGTTTAGTTGGTACATTTCCTGAATCAGTTAATAACTTTCCTTCAATATATAAAAAACTTTGTGATGGTAATGTATAAGAATCGAGCTCTTGAATGGGGATTCTAATCTCATCATTGTAATTTAATTTGCCGGGAATAAAGGGTTGATAATTATGAAATTGACATTCTTCAATACTGGTATCATTAAAGGGGTGTGTTGTTACATTTAGAATATCCATTATATTAAAACTTTAAATCCGAGAGAAGTTAAAAACTTTTTATTATTAGATGTTATTACTGCTCTTGATTTTACAGCACTATTACATTTTTTCTGATTTGGTAATCTTTTATAGTTTTTATATGGGTGGAAAAATTTTAAAACCATTATACTTTTCTAATGTGAAGGGTAACTGTAATCTCTTCTTTTCGAAAATTTATTAGATTTCTGCTTTGATCAATAATTTTAATAGTTAAGTTATTGATTGTTTTAACGCTTACTGGATAATATAAAATATTTTGAGGAGATTCGACTATTTTATACCCACTGGGCACCGTCGGAAAAAATTGATGTATAATATGTACTGGTTTACCATTTAAATAGGAACCAGCAGCAACACTGCAGTCAATGCCTATGGAATTCACTTTTAAAATTTTAACAGGGTGATCTGATGTATATGTTTTATGGGGTTCAAGTCTTTTAGCATCAAAGCCAAATACTTCTGCAATTGAATTTGTATTATTAAAAGAAATTATGCGATTACTTGATATAGAAATTTTTGATGTATTTAAATCAGGAATTATTTTTATTTCGGAATTTTTATCTGTATCATTCATATGTTCTTTTAAAACACGTATAAGTTCATCTAATTCATAAGCCCCTGTTGGTACTTTAAATATATTCATTTTATTTTTTTCCCCCCATACAAATATATTATTTGTATTATCAATATTAGGAATTGTGTTAAAACTATTAAAACTAACTAACCCTATTTCATAATCAGTATTTTCATCTAAATATATTGGGGGGTTAAAATCATAACTTAAAATTGAAGAATTACCAGTTAACGTAAAAGAAAAAGACATATTTACTCAATAAAAAAATATTTAGAATGAAAACTTTTTTAAATTATATTGATTATATAGGAATTTTAAACAATAATGACCGCACTTGTAAGAATTATTTTGAAATCTATCATAGTTATAAGTTATATTTACACCCCCACTACTATTTAAATATTTAATCAGCTCTAATGGTGGTTGTAAGTTTCCATAACTATCAAAATATACAACATTTTTATTTTTTTTTGTAAATGCTGTCCAGTGTGTTCCTGGTCCTTTACTTGAATCCATATTTATAATACCACTTTCATATTTATGAACTTTAGGTGGTAAGGAATCTCTCATAAAAACCCCTCTAAAGTGTGGTATTTTCAATATTTTTACAAATTTTTTTAAATCTATGTCTGTAAGCGCTCGCTGTGGTAGTATTAGTTTTTTGACTTTTTTTTATATTTTTTTTTAAATCGCAATCCTTTTCCTTTATATGGTCTTAAATATAAACCTTTTCCTTTAGTTTCCATTTGTAAATTGTGACGTTTTTGTTCTTCAAGTTGTTGACGATTTGTTTTGGCATCATTTACAGCCTTCGCAATTCCAGCACCCATTCCACCCAACCCTGCCAACGCAGATATAATAGGGATTAGTAAGGGTAAAAATCCACCTTTTTTTGGTACTCGAATAATCCTTTTTTTAGTTTTACGTTTTTTTAAACCCATCCCAAGTTTTCGTTTGCCTTTCATCACTGTTGTTATAAACCAAGCAGCTGCTTTTTCACCCAATTTAGCGTCTTTAGATTTAACCCTTTCCCAAGCTTTATTTTCTAATATTTTATCAGCTTGATGTCTATATTTGAGATCTGAACTTTGTGAATATGCAATATCATGTTCTTTGCAGGCAGCGTCTAATTGGTTTATGCCTTTATCACCTCTCTGTAATCTCTTATCAACTTGAGTGCCTGGACCACAGTAGGAAAAACCCGGAATATGTAATTCAATTGGTAGTTTGTTTATCAAAGAATTTACTAAACCTTTCCCTCTTCGATGTAAACTGTTTCGCAGATGTCTAACCATTATGCTTTTTATATACTACCACCCACACTATATATACTCTCAGTCATCAATAGAATTCATTAAAATGAAGGTTGAAAAACAACACATGACTTTACCAGTCAAAAATCATGATTTAATTGTTAATGATGAAAAACTTAATAAGCATGGTTATTTGTTTAGTGGTGATTCTAAGAGATGTTTAATAGTTGGACCTAGTGGATCTGGAAAGACAAACTGTATGCTTTCATTAATTGAACACCCTAACGGATTAAGATTTGAAAATATATATGTGTATTCCAAAAGTCTTCATCAACCCAAATACAAATATCTCAAAAATCTCATTCAACCCATTAAAGAAATCGAATATGAAGAATATTGTGAATCTAAAGATATAATTCAGCCAGAAGATATTAAAGATAATTCTTTAATTATATTTGATGATGTAGCCCCCAGCGATCAAAAAATTATTCAAAGTTATTTTTGTTATGGTCGACATAAACACACCGATTGTATTTATATTTGTCAAACCTACAGTTCAGCTAAGAAGCAGTATATAAGAGATAATCTGAATCTTCTAATTATTTTCCCACAAGATATGACTAATTTGAAACACATTTACGATGATCATGTTAATATCGATATGTCTTTTAAAGAGTTTATAGATATATGTTCATTTTGCTGGCAAAAAAAATATGATTTTCTAACTATTGATAAGGATTCACATTGTAAATATAGGAAAAATTTTGATAGTTTTATACGTATATAAAGAGATTTAGTATTCGAACATTTTACTTGAAATGGATGCACGCGTAGCGAAACAACTAATAAAAGCTAGACAAGCTTTAAAGAAAAAATATAAAAGTTTAAAAAGTGATATAAATAAATCACAAACTCATTTAGAAAAAACATATCAACCAATAACAGACCCCTTAAACAACTGGTTTCAGTTTTGGGGAAACAAGAAATAATTAAACAAGAAAATTTAACACCGAAATCAGAAAAGTTCAGTTTTTTGCGTAAACCTCCGCGAAAAGATTATAATAAAATAGCATATTCTTCTTTTCCATCGCCGGTAAGTCAAACAATTAAACATGCTCCAGAACATGAAAGTACTCGTTTAAATGAATCAGAAATTTATGAAAATCAACCAGATCAAACGTATGAATATCAACCTAGTACCAGTGATGAGCAAGTTGATGAATATATAGAGGATACAATTAAAAGTCTACAAAATTTAACTACAAATCCACCTCCTGCATTCGTTGAATATATGGATCAATTTACAGCACCATTACCTAGAGATTATATTCTTAGAAATATTTCAGATATCGAAAATAAATTTGATCATGTTTTGGGGATTTACCACGATATGGAAACCGAAAAGTTTCGCATTGGAGACTCTGAATTAAACTTTGATGGTTCTGATATTGTAATAAAAGGTATTAAATATAATGGAACACCTGGACTGTATGAATTACTTTTTTTAAAAGAACCGATTGCATATAAACAAACTGATGTTAATGAATATGTGGATATAATAAAAAGAACCAATGCCGCTAAAAGAAATAATGATCCGGATTTACCAATTAAAAATTTTTCTAGGGATATTAAGGATAAATATAATTTTATTATTAAACCAAAGTTAGAAACAGGACCGTTTAGACGGAGAGTTTCATCAATACCATCCTCATTAATGAGTGGAATAATGACAAGGAGTAAAAAAATTGGAAAAGGAATGTTACAATATTCAAATAAACCTATTGATTATAAATATTTTGATAATTACAATGAGTTAATTGACCGACTTAGATTACTTGTAGTATCTCAAACAGCTGGAAATACGGGTAATAATAATGAGATTGTGTCAATCATTGAGGAATTGAGAGAAGGGGGTATAATAATGTGAACCCAATTAAGTTTTAATTAGTAAGACAATGCCAATCAACAAATTCGGAGGTCACTTTTTGAGTAGTCAAAGCAATGAAACTAATGTTTTAAATTTCACTTCACCATTTTATATTTGTGAGCCAGTTTCATTCCATAGTAAATGTTTTATCAGAATAAGAGGTGTAAAACGAATAAAATATAATAAAGACTTTTATATTTTGGATAATCAAGGTACTGCTTTCGTTTTCCCTATAGCAGGTAAAATTGAAAGTTGTAAACACTACAGTGCAGATGGAGAAGTTTTATTAAATTCTAAGCCATATAAATACCATCAATTATCTGGGATAATCGTTAATAAAAATGATAAAATTGAGTTTAAACTGGGAACACCAGATGAAATGTGTGCTGATTTTGTTTTTCAATGTCCATTAGAAAAAAATGTCTAAGATTCAAGTTGTTAATGAACTACATAAACCAGCTAGAAAAAAATACAAGCGACGACATGTTATTGTTAAAGGGTTGAATGATTTAATTCAAGCTGATTTGGCTGTTATGATTCCTTACTCTAAAGTTAACAAAGGATATAATTATATTTTGGTTGTTATTAATGCATTTAGTAAATTTGTATGGGCTATACCGATTAAGAAAAAAACAGCTAAAGATGTTACTGAAGGTATGGCTCAAATTCTATCACAGATGACTCCTCCTAAAAATTTACAGACTGATAATGGAAAAGAATTCTACAATAAGGAATTTCAAGAACTTATGCGAAAATATAATATAAATCACTACAGCACTTTTTCCAATGTAAAAGCTAGTATAGCTGAGAGAGTAATAAGGACCCTTAAAACATTATTATGGAAAGAATTTAGTTTACAAGGATCATATAAATGGTTAGACATTCTTCCTAAAATAGTTAAAAAATATAATATATTACAAGGAGTTCATAATAAGACAATAAATTGTTTTAAAAATATTCGTTTTTTATTTCCACTGAAATAATTGCATGCCAAGCGCTCAAGAAGTTCTGCCTTCGAAATATTCTTTGTCTCGTCTTGTTACATCGGCTTGTGCTTCGTCAGCGATAGCAACGCAACATTCTTATAAACATTCGACAACATTGAGATATTAACTTTCAGGCAAATATTTTATATTCAACAAATACTTACTACTTAATATTTATAATATATTTTAATTATAAAAATCAACAATAATAAGAATAATAATAATGGCATAAGTTTATTATATAGTAACACTCGGCCATCCTGTTATTCTGCGCGTCCTCGCGTGGTGATGGGTTTTTATTTTTCCTTAATGCTGAAACATAAAAAAAACAGCTTTCTGTAAAATTTTATCAAACTTTATTATTTTATAGGTAGGATGATCCATTACCCACTATTTTTTTATATAATAATTGATATTTTTATTACATACTCATGTAACTAAAATAAAAAAAAATAATTACTAATTATAGTAACTATGTAATTATTTTCAATTATGGTATGGTGTTCCATTGTTATTTAATTTTTTTTTTATTGTTGGTGTTCCATTTTGTGTCGTATGGTGTTCCATTTTTATTTAATTTTTTTTTTTAATTGCTGGTGTTCCATTTTTTATTTAATTTTTTTTTTTTTTTTTTTTGATTGCTGGTATTCCATTTTTATGACTCTAATAAATCAATTAATTCATCCGTGCTACTTATTTCAGAATCTGAAGATGTATCAGATTCAATAAGAGCACCGGAATTGTATTTCCGTAATTTGTCTGCAGCAACAACTGCAGAGTACCGTGGATAACCTTTTAGTCCTTTTAGGGCAATAATTTCATATCGATCGTTTC